GGCGTGAGTTTAAACCACCGGGTCCGGGACTCGAACCGCGGTCGACTACGTGGGAGTCCAGTGACATAGCCATTACGCTAACTGCTGGTCCCATACTCATTTAAAAATTTTAAATGAATGAACAGCATTTAATATAGTAAATCACGAACCATGTACTACATACGGGTGTTTTTTTTTTTTTTTTTAATCACCCCCTAGGGGACATGGCCACACCACAGTCCCTTCTCCTCCATTCTCCTCTTGGAATCTTGAGCACATATGCACATACACCCAGTGTGAGGTTTGTTTTTTTTTTGGAGAGGTTTTTGCTGTAGTGTGCGTGCACTCACCAGACAGAGAGAGACAGAGAGACAGAAAGCGAGAAATCACCCTCCAGGGGGATGGCCACACCACAATCCCTTCTCCTCCATTCTCCTTTCGGGATCTTGGACATGCACACACACGCGCCCGGCGTGAGTTTTAAGCCACTGGATCTGGGACACGAACTGCAGTCGACTACATGGGAGTCCAGCAACATAGCCATTACTCTAACTGCTGGTCCCAACCCACTACATATAGTTTTAAAGTGCTAACTTTTAGGTGCAATTGCCTGTGGTTCATTGAAGAGAAAGAAACAAAATGTATAAGCATAATTAGCTCTAGGTAAAAGAATTGCCATCTCTCTCCCCCTCTTTTTCCCTACTAATTGCCATAGGGTGTTGTGTGCTTGCTAGAGAGGGAGAGAGCTCGCTCAGAGAAAGGGGATCATGCTGTACTTGCTTCTCCGTCTCCCCTTCCTGTTGGGACATAGGACACACCCACATGTGCATGGCATGTCTTCCATGCCACTAGGGCTAGGATTCACACTGGTCAGCTGTGTGGGTCCAGCCCCCATAACCATTAGGCTAATGGGCTGACCCAAGAATAGCCACCTCTTAGCGAGAGAATCTATTGTAAGTGTGTTTATTTATTTACTTGGCCAGAAAGACAGCTGGAAAGCAAGAAAGCACCCCCCCAGGGGGGAGGGCGTGCCAGTTCCTTCTCCATTTATGTTCCTTTCATTGGGCACACATGCACACATGCCTGAAGCTTCCAGGTCCAGGACTCGAACCACACTATTGGCCATGTGGGATCCAGCTCTTGTAACCACCAGGCCATGGGCTGGCCCAGTTACAAGTATCTAACAAGAAATGACTGGAGTTTGAGTTCATCAAGACTTGGAAAATTTGAGAGATTTCATAATGAAAATGCATTTTAGTTTTATATTTTAATAGAGAGCTTCAAGTTTTTCATTCATTTCTAAATATACTTTGTGCCCATTGTTAATTTTTCCTGTCTTTAATTATGTCAGTGGACTTATCTTTGAAAGTTTCAGTGACTAACTTTCATGTTGTTTTTAGTAAAAGCTCTGATAGATCAAGAAGTGAAGAATGGGATTCCTTCTAACAGAATTATTTTGGGAGGATTTTCTCAGGTAAGTTAAAATGTGGGTGGTTAGAGCAGTACTATCAGTGTGTCTGTAAGACTGTGGTTTTAATTCTTTTTGGGGGAGATGCTCTTTTAGAAGGTTGTAGAATCTACTGATACATAGTGTTCACCTTTGATTGTGAATTAAGTTTGGATGGATCGTAACTAATTTTTATTTCGCACCTTTTTTTGTTCTTCTAGTTTTTTTTCTTCAACAGTAGCCTTCAGCCCCTTAAATCAGTTTATTAAGTTGATTAGAACCTGCCATGTATTTTCTTAAAGCAGCCATGATACACACGTCCTGCGGCTTCTCCTCTAGCAGTGTCCCCTTAATGTTAAACAGAACACTCTGTTGACACTTTTTTATTTAACAGATTTTTGCTATAGGGTGTGTGCGCTCACCAGAGAGACAGAAAGCAAGAAATCGGCCCCCAGGGGAGATGGCCACACCGCAGCCCCTTCCTCCTCGGTTCTCCTCTCGGGATCTCGGGCACATGTGCATGTCCAGCGTTTTTCAAGCTGCTGGGTCCGGGACTCAAACCATGGATGACTACGTGGGAGTCCAGTGACGTAGCCTTTAGCCATCTGTCGGTCTTAGTCATGATACATTTTTACATACACAAAGTACCTGGTGACACAGCCCCGCCACGTGCTAGGAGACCAGCACTGGGAACCGTGAGGGAGAGGCAGAGAGGCCGTCCCTTTGTTTATGGTTCTGGCCCTGATGGGCGATATTTATCTGGGCCCTTTCTCCATCTGCCCCTCCACCTCCCAGGCCGTGTGCCCTCCTTCCGCGGCCTCCCTGGCCTCCCGCACATCCCTGCCTGTAATGCCCCAGGCCGCTCCAGCTTCCTGGCTGCTCATCTTGGAAATGATCAAGGCCCTTGGCTAGGGAAAGTCAGGTTTCTGGAATCATTTACAAGATAGAATTCAACAGGAAGATCTGTCAGGACGCAGCAGTCAGAGGTGTTGCCTTGATGTCGTTAAGATTCAGGGTAACACACTGACACCGCGACGTGAATGTAGGGACAGGAGGTGCATGAGGGCGCCGGCGGCACGCAGGCCCATTACCCTGAGCAGGCAGCAGGAGACTGTGGTCCGCTCCAGGGAGCCGAAGTTGGGATCTAGCCTGGGGATGAGGGCTGGGGACTGGGAGCGCCGTCGGGCCTCCCCCTCTGCCGTCTGTCTCTCAGCGGCTACCCTGCCGTGGGTCAGCTCCTGGCAGTGCTAGTCCAGGTCCCGATCCCACATTCCAAGGAGAAAGCGTCACTGGGATGAGAGAACCGCATGTCCTAGCGGACACAGCCCGAGCAGGCCGGGCCCTCTAGGGAAGGAGAGCAGTCCTGGGGGTGCGGGCGCTGCATGCGGTGGGCAGAGAGGAAGGTGCCCCTACTCCTTGCTCTCTTGCATTTCTGCTTTAGAAAATACTGGGTCATCGGGAAAGTTACAATGCGTTTCCGCATAGGAAAACACGTCATGACTTTTCCAACGACCAGTAGTGCCGGTGTAAGACCAGACTGGGTTTTATGCCTCAGGCTTGGAGGAGAAAACGCCCGAGTCCTCTCGCTGAGGCTGCCGGGTGCAGCCGTGCCTGCACTCTGCCTTTCCTCGTGGGAGGTCAGCCTTCTCTTTACTGAGAACTGTGTCCTGGAGGACGCTGGGCCGCGGGCTACTTCCACTCGGCTGGACTACACGCACAGCAGCCGCCCAGGTGACCTGTGGACGGTCGCCATTAGTAACATGGTCTGAGGTTCTGCACGGCAGTTCCTGACCCCCGCTTTCTCCCCAGGGCGGAGCTCTGTCGCTGTACACGGCGCTCACCACGCAGCAGAAGCTGGCAGGCGTCACCGCGCTCAGTTGCTGGCTTCCCCTTCGGGCCTCGTTTCCACAGGTAGCGGGTGATTTCCAGCACGCGATTGCTCAACTGAGGTGGCAGATAATGTTGGGAGTGGGTCAACCTTTTACTTTTTTTTTTAATTAATAACCTATTTTTTAGGACAGTTTTAGGCTCACAGTACAGTCGAGCTTAAAGTAGACACAGCCGCCTCCATCGGCATCTCTTGGACAGTGGTTCATTTGGGTAGTCAGGGCTCTCCCACTGACAGAGCTGCCGCCCACGTCCATAGTTTATGTGGTCATTTAAAAATAATTTCTAAGGCTTTGGGGAGGTTCTACCAGAGTTTATCTGTGTATTCCCCTGTCCCCATTATGGATTATGTAGAGTAAGAAATAAGCCTTATTCCGCCTCCATCGGCATCTCTTGGACAGTGGTTCATTTGGGTAGTCAGGGCTCTCCCACTGACAGAGCTGCCGCCCACGTCCATAGTTTATGTGGTCATTTAAAAATAATTTCTAAGGCTTTGGGGAGGTTCTACCAGAGTTTGTCTGTGTATTCCCCTGTCCCCATTATGGATTATGTAGAGTAAGAAATAAGCCTTAGTGGGCTGGCAGGTGGCATGACTGTTGTGGTGCTGGACTCCTACACATGGTTGACTGGGGTTTGAGTCCTAGACCTGGCAGCTTGCTTTCTCACTTTTTCTTTCTCTCACTTTGTCTCTCTCTGGCCAAATTTAACAAATAAAATTAAATCTTTTTAAAAAAGCCTTAGTGTCATGAATCTTATATTTGAAGAGCTTGCTACATTTTAGAATGTATATGGAAATTAGAACTGTTTTTAACACATTGAAATATCTTAAATATTTGGTATATTCAGCATTTGATAGTAGATTTTTTTTTCCCTTTTTTTTTTCACTATAGGGCAAGTGTGCCCACCAGAAAGCCAGAGATGACAGAAAGATGGAAAGCGAGAAATCATCCCCCAGGGGGGATGGCCACGCCGCAGTCCCTTCTCTCGGGATCTTAGGCACACATGCACCGTGTCTAGGACTTGAACCATGGTGTAACTACCTGGGAGTCCAGTGACATAGCCATTAAGCTAACTACTGGTCCCTTGATAGTAGAATTTCACCATAGAGTGTAATTTCTTTTTTTAAAAGAAATATTTATTAAATTTTATTATTTTTTAATCTGATCAGAAAGAGAGTCAGAGAGAGAAGAGCACCAGGTCTGGAACTAGAGCTGTGGTCGACCATGAGACCAGCGCCTCAGTCACCACGCCACCTGCAGGCCCCAAGAGTGTCATTTCTTTTCTTTTTTATTTTAAAGACATTTTTGCTATAAGGTACATGTGGTTGACAGAGAGACAGAGACAGAGAGACAGAAAGCAAGAAATCACCCCGCGTGGGGGAAGGCCACACCACAATTCCTTCTCCTCTATTTTCCTTTGAAGATTTTAGACACACACACAGATGCCTGGTGTGACGCTTAAACTGCCAGATCTGGGACTTGAACTACAGTCGACTATGTGGGAGTCTAGCGACGTAACCATTATGCCATCTGCTGGTCCTAAGAGTGTAATTTCTAAATATTGCCAGTAAAGCAATATATATTGGGTCATCAGGAACATCATGACACATTTTACGTAGAAAACCATGTCATGACTTTCCCGACAGCCTAACTATATATTTGGGAGATGTGGACATGATTTTATTTTCAAATTCTTATTTATTTATTTATTTATTTATTAGAAATTATTAATTTAATTTTATTATCATTAATTTTTTAAAATTTGCACTCATCAAAGAGAGAGAGAAAGTGAGAAAACAAACCACTAGTTCTGGGACTCTAACCGTGGTCAGTTATGTGGGAGTCCAGTGCCTTAATCACCACGCCACCTGCTAGCCCTCAAGTTCGTTTTACTTGTTTGTTTGTTTATTTTTAAAGAATTATTTAATTTAACTTTATTTATTTATTAATTTGACCAGAGAGGGACAGAGCAAGAGAGAAAGAGAAAGCAAGCTGCCAGGTCCAGGACTCCAGCCGTGGCCAGCACCCTTAACCATCACCACCTGCTGGCCCCTCAAATTCATTTTTAAATGAAGGATTTAGTCTCTTCTCTGTGCTGCATCACTTTGGTGACTTGTATATAGTAGATAATAGGTATGGTTTATTAACCCTCAGTAAAAAGCTGAAAAGAATATTATTCACTTAACATGTGCTAATAACATTACCTCTCGTATCAGGACACTGAAAATATAAAGATCAGTTAAGATATAATGTGCTGCACGAAAGTGATTCATTGGGAAGACACATACTATCAGACATAGTCATGCACCCGATAGAAGCTTAATAAACAGACGTAGGAGTGTGGGGGGAAGAATGTGCCTTTGGGTAAATATAACCTGTACTGGAAGTGAAAACATGTCATACGTGCGTATCTGTCTATGGTCTTAAATGCCCGGGATAATGCCTTGTACATTTGAATAAATGTTATTTGTTTTGTTTTGCCTTTTACAGGGTCCTATCAGTGGCGTTAATAGAGATATTTCTATTCTCCAGTGCCATGGGGATTGTGACCCTTTAGTTCCCTTAATGTTTGGTTCTCTTACTGTTGAAAAACTTAAAACATTGGTAAATCCCGCCAATGTAACCTTTAAAACCTACGAGGGCATGATGCACAGCTCATGTCAGCAGGTGAGTGTCTGGAGCAGCCATTGGAACCACAGGTGCAGCTTCTCCCGTGGGATGTTTTTGAGATAAAGCAATAACATTGACTATTCTGGAGTTTAAGAGTTAATTCATATAGAACCATAGGTTAGTAGGTCATTAGTTGAAAGTATAGTTCAAGAACTATCGATTGTACACAAAAGCAGTGTAACAAAAGATGAATAGTAAATATCCCTTTATTAAAATTTAAAATAGGTTAATTAAATTATATTTTAATAGGGAAGAAAGATATATATCAAAGTAACTTGTACAGAAAGCAGAATGTGATTACGTGTTTTATTGGACGTTTTTAAAAAGCACCCTGGAAACCTAAGAGTGAGATTTTTATCTTAGGAGGCCCTGGGGTCATGGCGAAAGAGCTAGATTTTGGTAGCAGGAAATCATTTTGAGGGAAGTGAGAAAACTGAGCGAGAAGCTGGAGAAAGTTTCTTCTGTCAGAAGCCTTTAGTATATTCACGTTCGTGTCTTTCCAGTCCAGTCTTAGGTGTATGTTCTCTTTCATGTGGCCAGCTTTACATGAATTCCTTATGAAAGGCACAACCTAGCTTCTGCTGCAGATTTCGTATTTCATTTTGATGAGGGAGTGGTGAAAGCAAAGATTTCTCACAGATATTTAGTTGTAAGTAATTGTACACTTACTGAGACTTCTGGAGAGAGGTGCTGTCACTTCTGAACTCCCTCTTCCCCCATGGCAGTATTTTATTTTTTTCAAGTATAGGACAATGCATACCATTTTCATGGAACTAGGAAATAGATGGGGGCTGTCATTTCTTTGTACAGTAATAATTTTCATGGGAAATGTTCTGAAACTTCCATTTGGAGTCTCATTTCTCCCTTATGTCTTTTTATTTAATTGTAGTAAAAATGTGGTTTCACCTTACCCCTGTGCACAGCATGGATTTGGGCTGTGGAATTCTAGTGGCGATTTAATTTCTGATTTATGTAACTGTTTATTGAATCACTCTATTCCAAACAGGAAATGATGGATGTCAAGCAGTTTATTGATAAACTTCTACCTCCAATCGATTGACGTCACTGAGAGGCCTTGTGTAGACGTACACCAGCATCATTGTAGTAGAGTGTAAATCTTTCCCATGCTCGATTTGAAAATTCTGATGTTTGCAGTGTTAAAGTGTTTTGCAAATACACGCCAGTGGCACAGACTAAATAATGTCTCATGGGAAGTTTATGATATTTTAAGTATCTATACTTGTATTTGAATAATATTGATCCAGAATACACTAGTATTAAAATAAGTGAAGCTGCTACTAGCTTCTTTTTTCTCAAATGTAATTTAGCAAAATAACAAAATACTGCAATCGGATTTTTTATTACATCATTTGAAAATTACTAGTGTGCTTACTGGGAGATTTGTCCAGGTGTATGTGAGCAGGTAAGATGTAAGCAATTCGTGCACGCTGTGACTTAGTGTGTGGGTGTATGCCACAATCGCTCGGTCACCGTGCGGTGTCTGTATTTTTATATATATCCATATCTACATACTGGCTATAATACACAATAAGAACAAGATGTCATTACATTATTCCTGACAATAGGGATAATGCTTTTAAGTGTCCATAAAGAATATCTTGCTCTCTTCAGTTAATGGCCCTTTTATTTCAGGGACCAGTCTTTTCTTTTCCCTGGTATCTTCCATTTAGTATTCTTTCCTCGTTTGAAGGAAAAAAAAAAAAAAGAGTTCTCTATTTTCTTTATAGCAGACCAAACATTGCCTATCTGCCATAGACATCTACTGTCAGTGCACGCTGTAACGGATCTTCTGAATCACAGACGTACAGTATCTTAAATTCCTCTAGATCTTAAAAAGAAACCAGGAGCTACCTAAAACTTCTGTGCTGCTCACTTTCAGTAATTGTAACTTAGTCCAAATTTAGACTTCTTTAGTTATTAGACTCTTCAATCCAAGAAACAGGAATAATTCTGTGGTTTTACTTTTCTGTAAGCAACTGAATTAATAATAAGGTCATATTCTAGTATGTTTAGAAATATTACTTAAAAAGTAATTTCTAAGATCATTTGGTATGATTTGGTCTCCTTATACTATAGAGTTTACTTATTTTGTGCATTTGTTTGAAACCAACTACTGTACCAAATAAGCAACCCATTAGAAGAATTTTGCTTTACTTTTATCTTTAGTAGGCTTATTTGAAAATTTCACTTTAGTCAAGTGATTTTTTTTAAATAATTTTTTGTGCAAACATAAAAATATGAAAATTTCACTTTAGTCAAGTGATTTTTTTAAAATAATTTTTTGTGCAAACATAATTATGGTAATCATTTAATTTTAAATAGTCAGACTTTCCAGATTATTGTTAAAAATTAGTTGAAACTAAATTTATTGATAATAAAGGTTAGTTAGATCACCATAAGTATGGTATAGTCACCACACAGTTTAATAATACGAAAACCATATGCTTCGTATCTCTGAACTATGATAATTTTTCGGCTGTATTTCCACTGACCAAAACAGTGCTAAGAATGCATCTTTATAAATGGGTGCTAATTGATCGTGGAAATAATTTAGTAATGGACTATATTGGATGTTAATAATGGACTATATTGGATGTTAATAATGAAGCCATATGTTTATGTCTGTATTTAAAAATTTTAAACAATCATTTACTAAGTCATTTTGCTTTACCTTGAAGCACACGCCCTGTTTCAGTTGTACAAATCGACAAGATCTTATTTATAGCAAGAACTATTCCGTTGAAATGTGCTGTAATGTGGGGAGATGTAAATGTTTTCATGGTTTCTATCAATGCGAAATAAAACTTAATTCTGATTTTTCTTTGATTGTTTTCTTGAGTTTTTGCTTGCTTGTTTTGTTTTTTATTTGTTTTTGTTTTTTGTTTAGTTTTTGCTATAGGGCACATGCGCTCACTGGAGAGAGATCGAGAGAGAGAAAGAGAAAGTGAGAGATGACCTCCCAGGGGAAATCCCTTCTCCTCCATTCTCCTCTTGGGATTTGGGGCACATGGACTTGGCATGGTTTTTAAGCTTCCAAGTCTGGGACTTGAACTGCATAGTCAGCCACATGGGATCCAGCTATCTAAACCTCCATGCCACCTGCTGGCCCTCGAGTGTTATTTATCATTTGGATTTACCTCAGAATGGAGAGGAGGGAAATAACAATGTAATCACAAGAATCATCATTTAGAGAGAATTTTGATGGTGGTATGAATGGAACCAGGCATGAGATACTAGCCCATATAATTTCATTTAACTCTCCTTAAAAAAAAAAAAAAAAAAAAAAAGAACCAGCAGTTGGAATAATGGCT